CTCTATCATACCAGCATCTTCCCAAAGATCATTTGCAGATTTCCAGACATGTAATTTTTCAAATTGTAAGATCATATACAATTGGGCCGATAGACAATTTGTTCCTAAAATTTAACTGTCGTAATAAACACTTTCCCCCAAGATCTATACACCACTCCATGCCTAGATATGATGCTAGTAATATCTCATTACATATTCAGATTTATGCAAACAGCACACACTATAGGATATCAAATACAGCTTCAAGACCATAGGCCAGGAATTTTTTACATCATGCAGTCTACTTGGTGGCAATGGCGAGATATTACAACATTGTAGCCAGGCATTAGAGAAGTATAGATTCTAGGTAGTAATCTATTAAGAAAAGATCTTTTTTTTTTTTTTTTAAGTGTCCTCACTCACTTCCTGTGATCTGAGTCCTCGAAGAGACTTGAAAATGAACATGGAAGTTTTCAGATTTAGGAATATATGCATTACTCCCTAATGTCTATAATACAGTAAAAGCTGCAAGTTGTAAACCTGTCAAATTGAAATCCTCTTCTCGTAGACTTGCATGGCTATATATATAATTTTCAACATGATTAGTGGAAATTTTGAAAACATGATTAATTCACAACTATTGAAGAATTTTTTATGAAAACAGCAGTTTAACACTTAGCTAAAGAACAATAAAGTGGCTCTTGAAACAAACAAACAAGGAATAAATGAAATAAAAACTTAGGTATTGCATCAAAAAAGTTCTAATCACTTTCCTACTGCAATAGAAAAGTAAGCCAGTTAGGATGGAATTGCAAAACTGTCAGGTGAAGTCAGTTGAAGATTTTGACACAAAACAAGTCAGGTCATCACACCATTTTCAGTAATTGGTTTCTATGATAAAAATATCTTCTCTGGGAACACAAGGTGGGATACATGAATATTGAGACCATCTGAGAACTTTTTATTTTGAATTATTTTTAAAATCTGCATTTTAAAAATAGGTTAAAAGTGAAACCCCTCTTATTCATGAAAAAATATGCAAAATTTACTTATTTATATTTGTAAAATATAGTTTTGCAACATACTATCTGTATTAACTGAATACACCCAATTACAAAACCAACTTGAGTGAATATTAACCAACTACAAAATAATGAGTAGACCTTGAAAAAATGGCTGGACATGGAAAAACATGGAAAAGAGTTATATTTTTCAGGTTAAAAAAAACACACAGTAAGCAGAAATAATTGAACAAACGGATACATTAGTATCCATAGCAACCAACGACCATGTAGTAATCAGTCCATAATAAGTAAATTTGCTAAATTTCAGCAGTTAACAAAATAAATTCACAATATATATATATATATAACTATATAAACTGAACGGGAAAAGTGCTTGGTTTGCCTCATAACCATGTCTAGAAAAAACAAAAAAATAACGTTTATGAGAACAATTTATGTTATCACAAGATACTTGCATGGCATGCATTTCAAAGGTCAGGCAAATTTAGTCACATGATACCTAGTAAGCACAAGTTCACATTTACAATTAGGTCACTCATGAACACTATAGGTTACACATCATGGCATTTTGTTGGTATAAAAATAAGTTTATACTATTGATATTTCAACACAATTTCCGAGACTTGACTATTTGTTTCATCTGCTTGAGTAAAATGTTTGTTAAAATGCCCCAATTGTGCAGGTTTGTGATGCTGTCATACCAATAAAAATACCAGGATGAGTGACCTTTAGGGGGTCATGAAAGTACCAGGATGTGTGACCTTTAGGGGGTCATGAAAGTGGCATATTTTGTTGTAGTTTACACAGACAAGACAGAAAAAGAAGTGGAAAATGATAACAAGGCTCCCATATGTTTGGATTCCTACAATTATACATCAGCATCTTTGTAAAAGTCTGCAAATTAGGTTATTTAATATGCACATACTTGAAGAATTGCCGTGAAGAATGCCTGATTTTAATGCAAAACACTGAAAGGGTATGCAGCTGCATAATGTGTGCAAACTGAAATAAAGATTAAGTATAGTTTTAATTCAAACCTTGGTTCAAGTGTTCACCATTGTCTGCTGTATCCATCATTCATTTTATAATCAAACTGCTGACTATCAGATCTTTGTCGTTCTTGTCTCTGGTCTTGGCCCCAATCAACTTGACCATCCCTCCACCTTGCATCATAAACAGAATCTTTCTGGTAACCACTGAACTGTCCTTTACCCATGTCAGAACCGTGAACCTGAAAACTCCCTTGCCTCGGCTCATCTTTCCCCTTATGGAGTGTTCTGATATTTCCGATTACTGGCAGAATTCTATTAACGTCTCCTTTTGCTGTATCAGGTTTTGTGACATGCGTGGATATATTCCAATTATTACCAACATAATTGCTTCTGTGAGAGTACCCATCTGATTTGTTTAATGGGGATATGCTTGGTCTTTCTGATGAGGAAGGCACACCTTGTTTGCAGTAAGTTGAAGCTAGTGAATTTAATGATGACTGGAATACACCTCTCTTAGGTTGAAGAGAAGAAATGTTATATGAGTGACTTTGGCCGGGATGTGTAGAAAGCATAGACATTGATGTTGACTGATGTACTCTCCTATTAGACCTTATAGAATCATGTCCGTATTCTTCCAAAAGGCTTCTTCTGACTTGATGGGGTGAATAATTATCCACACAAGTGGGACCCACAAACATTCTTCTGTCATCTGATGTTTGCTCTTGTACACTACTCTGATGTTCCTTACTATACAGGTTTAGGTTCATACAAGATGTAGATGAATCATTTTTGTAGCGCTTACTCTGGTGATTATCATGCTGGTATATCATTTCTGCATTCTCAATTTCTGAGTATTTTCTCTTACCATCATTGTAGTCACTTCCCCAGCTCGATTGTTCATTTTCTTGTTCATTTTTGTGAACAATCGCATTAGCTTCATCATGCCATGTTATTTCATCTTTGCAAGGTGTGCCTGGTTCTTTTGGGGCACCAGATTGAGTGTAATCATTTGAATCCAGTGATGAATCACCACCCACAGAACCATAAGCCTCTGTAATGTTAAACAAAGAAGCATTCCCCTCCGAACCTGCATTGCCAATAACACTCTTAATTTTAGACACTGTATTTGATGTTTGTGCAAATTGACTTGTCAAGATTGTCTCCTGTGGTCCAATATCTTTTCTCTGATCAACTGCCCCTCGGTTCAGATCTATTTTGCCATTCACATTCCAGCTTGAATGACAAGGAGCTCCTCCAAATAAGCTATGCTGCATCATCTTCATTTCTGTTACAACGTTCTGGCCAGATAACATTTGCATACTATCTTCTTGTCTCCTATATTCTGTTGATCTCGGCAAAGGAAGCAACGAGGTTTGGAATGTGTTCTGACCGGGTCCCATTTGCATACTATCTGCTTGTCCGCCATATTCTGTCGATCTTGGTAGAGGAAGCAAAGAGGTTTGGGATGTATTCTGACCAAGTACCATCTGCTTTCCTTCTGATCTAAAATGTGCTGTTGAACTTGAAATAGGAACCAAAGAGCCGTGGAATGTGTTCTGATCTGACATCATCTGCATACTCTCAGCAGGCCTGGCTGTTGATTTTGGAAGGGGAAGCAAGGGTTGTCTCTGTTGCCATTCCCCAGTATTAGGATTGCCATGTCCAACTGATTCATTCTCTGAATGCCATCCACTTTGTATTGTAGTTTTCATGGCCTGCCTTACATTCTGCAGCATCACCAGTTTCAATTCAATGGTTTCTAATTCTTTTGCGGTATTGCATCCTTTTGGTATTTTCTCACTATCTTGGGAATCCCTCACTTGTAACTTGCCTTTGGAGGCTTCCAAGTCATTTATTTGCTGCTCTATCTTTTGATATTCTTGAATTAAGGCCTTTCTGCGAGGAGTTCCTGTTGAAGACTGATTAGATACAACTTCCTTCTGAACAATTGTATTGTTCCATTCATGCAGCTCTACATTTGTTTTCTGATTATCATAAATTCCAACATTATCAATTTGATTCCCATGGTTGCCTGCTGAAGCCTGAAAATTTGCGTTATCTTGCTGGTAAGCCATTATGGTGGATTTTTGTTTTATCTTGCTAATCGATGAACAAGTATTATTATCTGCCGGTGACCATCTAGTTTTGCGTACTTTGTTTAGCCCGGGTACATTATTATCAGCATATTTCTTTTCTTCTGGCCAGTAACCTAATCTAGTAGTTTTTGTAGCCTTTGCATTAATATCATGCTTAAGGGCATTATCAGGACAATTAAACCCACCCTTGACGTCTCCAGGACCGAAATGTACATTTTCAACTTCCTGACTGATATGATTTTTGCTTGGAAGCTTTTCTTGTTGTTTCTGTGTATTAGAAGGGGCTTGTTTATTTAAGCCTTCACAACTAGGTGATGCGCACTTACTAGGAATTTTTAATGGTTTACCATTATTTCCACGCTTTGCTTTGCGTTTGACGCCGATAATAAATCGCTTCTGCTTTTCATAGAATTCAATTCTAGGATCTATCAGAGCTTCATTTCCTACATAATCTAGTGGGATTACTTGAGGTATTTCTTGAGATTCACTTAAATTCCTTCCACACAATGTGGGTTTTGGCTTTGAAACAGGAGATTCCTTCAATGCAGGACCTCTCTTTGATTGCCCAAACAATCTTGGGTCTCTAGAATGATGCATGGGTACTTGTCCTGTAGGTTCTTCAGCTTTCTTTGGCTTTGACATAGAAGATAACAAGTCAATAGCATCTCTTATTGCCTGGGCCATTCGACTGGATGATGCTAATGGTAACTGTGACTGAAGATTCTTTATAGTCAAGGCTTTAGAAGACTCTGACAACACATTATCACTAGAGTGATCACTAGCAAGATCCATATCTCTTAGTTTCATGTCTTCTGAAGTGTCAATAGTACCTTCTACAAATGGATTAGGCTGTGAATGCTCCTGGTGCAATGGTTGAATACAGTCAGTCTCCACTGAAGATGACATTGAAAGCCATTCAGACACTTTGTTGCATGCAGCAATAGCGGCCAAATGTTTATTTACAGCAAGATTGGGATTACTCTGATAAGATGGATAGCTTTGGTTGTCAAATGTGTTGATATTACTGGCAGTCATTTTGACATGTTTTTTATTAACTTCTGCTGCAATTCCAAAGTCTTCTCTCTTCAGTGTACTTGGTTTTCGTTTAGCATCTGTTCGGTTGCATGACTTAACAGAAACAAGATCGTTTCTATTTTCATCAAAACTATTTCCTGCTTGACCACTGTTTGTCTCAAAACCACCATCTTTTCTCATAGATTCATAATATGGCTGCCTGTTTAACTGCCTGTGATCATTCGATACAAATTTCTCTGTATTCATATAAACTTCACTGGGGAAACCTTTCTGAACAGGATTGTTAAAGCCACTAGTTACATAAGGCTTTTGAATCAGATTTTGTGACACATTACTTGTAGACTCATGTGTAGACTCAAGTGCATGTAATCCTTTGTTAAACCTCAGCGCTCTAACTTGCTTCAACCTCTTTTGATTTTCCAAGATCTCATCTTCAAGTTTCTTCAACTTAAAACTCGTTCTTGGTTGTGTATCCATTATTTCGCCTGAAGCATGAATTTCACTCTTGTATTCATGCACTGGTAAATAACTTCTATTGAATCTCTGATCATCAACTGTCATTACTCCCTGATTACTGTTACCACCAATACTTGCAAAGACATCAGAACAGACTATGTTCAAACTAGCTTCAAAATATCCTCTGTTATCTGACACATTGTCCTCTGGGGGGATAAATCCTCCACAATAATCAAAATTTGAGTAAATTTCATTGCAGGGATCCTGTTCATAGTTATTTTTTGTTCTTGCTTCAGGAACTTTTTGGGAGTTATTTGATTCAGTCTGGAAACATTTTCCAATGATTTCCTGTTTATCACTCGCTGTTGTCCCTAAACTGTCACTATTTATATTGGTGGTTACTGTATCAGGCCTAGTACATCTTATACCAGTTACACATTTGATTTTCTCACCCTCAGTGGCGGGTTTACTTTCAGCTACTAGTGAATTGACAGAAGATTCAATTTCACAGGTTTTTTTCTGTACCGTTTTTTCAGGGGTTATTAGGTTATTGCTTGGTTTACACCCTGCCCATGTTTCCATCACCTTCTGTTTAGCACTGAGTACTGCTCCTAAACTGTCAACAAACTTATCAGTGCTACTTATACCTGCTCCAATTTTTCCCTTGTCTGTTATGTTTTTACCTTGATTGTTAGATTCACCCTCATCAAATCTTGGTGACAAGGTGCCAGAAGAGCCACTTTCAAAAGACCTTTTCTTTGTCCAGTTATCAGCAATTGTTTGGAATTTGCTTCGCTTAGTTTGGGCCCATCTTTCAGACAGCGTTAACATTTTACCTTCAATGTACTGTTTTGCTTCCACCTCTTTACTTAGATTCCTCTTTGGGTTCTGTGTTTTACAATCTGTAGAATCAGTTTTCTTAGGTTTACCTGAGGCACCTTTCCCACCAGCTTTTTTTGCAGAAACAGCTTTCCCTGCAGGAACAGATCCTGCACTCTCCTTTTTTGAACATAAAATTTCTTCACCATATTTCTTTTTCAGGGGTTGTTTTACTTTCTCTGGACTGAATATGAGTTGTTTAACTGTAGTTTGGCAAGAAAATGACATTATAGCCCATGGTAGACAGTTACTTGGAAGTTGATTTGTCAAACGACCCTTAGGGGTAAACTTGTATAGATATATCTGTTGAGAAAAAGACAAAATGCGTACTATATTAGGCTTGCACAACCTTGGAAGGAAAAGATGTATAATAATAAGATTATTACGAGAATACCTCAAAGTATGCACTCAGACAGTACACCATCACATTGACCTTCACTGCGTGTCGGCTGATACTCCTGCTGTACTGTCTTCATGCATACTTTGAGGTATCCTTGTAATAACCTCATAGTATTCATTAACCTGAAAGCTGCACAAATACTGTGCAGAGACAGTGGTACTTCAATCAGTATTATTGTTGTTGTTCAATAAGGGCAGTAAGCAGCCAAAATATTACCACAGTTCCTTGATACTGTTATTTGAATTTGCAAAATGAATAGTGTTATCTGCAATAAATCTTGTGATATTTTCGAATTAGGTGTTGTTTTATCATTCATGTGTTATAAATAACCAAGGGTAAATTTACCAGTACATCTCAAAGGTTGTAATGCATTAAATCACATATAAATAAATTAATCAATTGTTTGTAAACTTCATGTCAAATTGAAGCAAATATATTTTAGAATGTGCAGGCCGAGTTTAATTTATCAATCGTTTTTGTCATTCTTTGTAATGCACTTTCAAAGACAGTGATGTTTCAAGTCACAGCAAGGTATCACTAACAGAATGCAAACAAGCCATTAGGTGTATATTAATGTGTAGCTTGACATGGTGAAAATTTCATCACTTGCTTTGTCTGCATGAAATACAAGAGTTGTATTGGCTTTATACACTTATTTTTTTATTTTATAATTTTTTATACATCAGTTGACAAAGTACAATTGAATTACAAAATCAAACTGATATGAATATTCAAATTAATCAAACCTGTTGTCTGGGGCAACAGTACTAGTTACTAGTCACAGTCATGTTATGGTTATGCCTCATGAACCTTGAAAGCAAGTGGTTTAAGGTGCTGTAACCATCAATCAACTATGATTTAAGTAATCAGTATCATGCCTGAAGATTTTGGTCAATCAAATTGTAGTCAATTTGTCAAATATTTATATCGGTGTTTTGGACTAATATACCATACTTAACCAGGTTATGGCATACAGCAACAGAAATTCTAGAATTTATATTCGCCAATTCAGTTATGATACAAGTTTACAGACAGCTATGTATACAGAAATATAAACTATAGATTACCTGAGAGTAATTGTATTGTTGCTGTATGGAATCCTCGACAGAAGGAGCCTTGTCGGATACCTGGCAATCAGTGTCCATTGAAGGATGCACATAGGAACTGTAATTGAATGATGAGGCTTTCAACACCATCTTGCGTCCACGTAACATCTAATAGAAAAAAATAGACAAAATTTCAACAATAATGATGAACTGAAAGAATTGAACAATTACATGCAACTTAAAGCATGGTGGTCCACAGCGCGTGTTTGAATTTCATGTAAATAAACAATGTATTTTACACGCATTGTATATGTCGCTATGAGTCCCGTATCGAACATGACGCGGCACAACGACTGCCGCCCTTTAAGTTCTGTTTTGTTCTCCACATACACATGGATCAAATGTCAAGATTTAATTTGTATATGTACAGTACATTGCAAGTGTGCTTTAATATTTTGCTAGTTTTAAACTGGATTAAAGCTAACATCACTTGCTTTCCAAACCAAAATATATTGAAATTATGTACAGCATAGCTGACCCAAATATGTCTTGTGTTAACAAGTCATTGTCAATGACACGTCCCCGTTCCGTTCATATTTGAGTGACATATACATTCAAAGCAGATCATGACCGAAATGCACCTGCATATGTACAACACATTGTGCTAAATCTGAACAAAATCCATCCATGCATGACTGAGATCCGGTTCTGGAATTGTGAAAATATGTGATTTTGATGCATTTTCGGCCTTAAAATGGCCATCATTCCGCTATTGTTAAGCAGATCATGAAACAAATGCACATATCTATTTGTGACATGATGTACCATGTGTGTGTGAAGTTTGAACTTGATCAATCCAGACATGTCTTGGATATGGATCCAGAACTGAATTCTTTAACAAAATGGCCGCCAGTCGGCTATTTCGAACTTGATCCGAAAAAAAAATGACGTGCATCAAGGTCCTATTATGTTTAATGTATGTACCAATTTTGAACAAAATCCATCCATGCATAACTGAGATACGGGTCCGGAATGGTGAAAATGTGCCATTTCAATGCATTTTCGGCCTTAAAGCGGCCCCCATTTGGCTATCGTTAATGAGATCATGAAACAAATGCACATACATATTTGTGACATGATGTACCTTGTGTGTGTGAAGTTTGAACTTGATCAATCCAGACATGTCTCGGATACGGATCCAGAACTGAATTCTTTAAAACAAAATGGCCGCCAGTCGGCTATTTCGAACTTGATCCGAAAAAAAATGACGTGCATCAAGGTCCTATTATGTTTAATGTATGTACCAAATTTGAATGAAATCCGTCCATGCATAACTGAAGATCCGGGTCCGGAATGGTGAA